GAGAGAAGAAGCAGGGATCGTGACAGAAAGCGGCGGCGAGAGGAAGATACGGAAGAGGAGAGACCAGAAGGAGGGAAAGAAAAGAAGCGGCGATTTGAGCGGCCCCCTGAACCTTTGGGGCCCCCACCAAGTCGGCGAGAGGACCGGCATTGGGTTCCTACCGAACCTGCCTACCCACCACCGGTCAGACAGGGATCGGGGTGGCGAGGAGTGCTGCCTGTGAGTGACCACGCGAGGTGGACATCTTCAACAAACAAAGGGCAGGTGAAGCGTGGGAAGCAGGAGCTATTCAACAGGAGGCGAGACGGCCGACGAAGGCGTTGAGATGGCGCCTAAAAGAGGAGCGGCCAGAAGGCCAGCAGCAGCGGGGGCCGTCATCAGGAGGCCGGCAAGAAGGGAAGAGGCCGCAGAGGAGGAGAGACCGAATAGGCCCAAGCTGCAAAAGTTTTCGGACCTTGACCCCATAGCCATGGCAGAGCTCAAAGGAATTAACCTCCCAGACGCAACCTACTACGGGAGGAAAGTGACGTTGGCAGGCAAAGTAAAGACTTTGAGGAGCGAAGAGAGGCAGTGGTTCTTAGACGTCGAGGTTTGGGGAACTAAGGACGAAGACCTCTTGAGGCTGTTGTCAGGGAAAAGAGAAAAGGTGGTTTCCCTGCACGTCTGCGGGGCCGAGTGCAACCAACTGCTCACTGATGAGCTGTTAGTGCATGCATTCACCTTTGAGGAGGTTGATCTATCAGAGGAGAGCTGGATGACCAACCTTCGGCTAGCCCGGGAGCGTCCTGGAGGAGAGGATGACTTGCGGGACCTCCGCAGAGAGCAAGAAAGGATGGAGGAGATGGACAAAAAGGCCCAACGTGCTGACAAGAAGGAGGCGAAGAAGAGGAAGCGCGACGGAGGGGATGAGGGGAGGCGCGCAAAGTCTCCCAGGAAGAACGAAGGGGCATTAGAAGTTGGGCAAAAGGACCTAGCAGATATTTTCGGAGGCACAGGTATGGACCCTGATGTGAGGGCCAGGTCCAAAGTCCTCAAAAAAGCTCGCAGGATTGCAAAGAAGGACAAGAGAAGCAAGAAAAAGAAGGAAAAAGGCAGTAGCAGCGGGAGCTTGGTGTCTTCTTCCAGCAGCTCCTCATCAAGTTCCCTGGAGGTGGGCGAGACGGGGCTTTTTGAGGATGAGAAAAGGCTGAAAGCCGTATGGAAGAGATGCCCCGGAGCATTAGCTTCGCGGTCTATCCAGGAAATTAAGAGGAGCCTGGTGACCGCCGCAGGGACGGCATGGGAGATGAACAAAGAAAGCCTCCCTCCCATCTACACGCAATACTGCCGTCAGGTGGTGATGGGAGGGATGAGTGCTTCCTTGCAACAGGAAGTAATCACCATCAGCCAGGCCTTGGACATGCTTGCGCTGGGCAAAGTGGCCGCCTGCATGGACCTGCTCAACCAGAGGCTTAAGAGCCTTGAGGCTCTAGGCCGCGGAGCACATTGGACAATGTGCAGACAGTACGAGCTCATCAAGACGGAGGAGGGAGGCATGACCGAAGTTCAGGAACGCCTTGCTGCAGCTCGTCAAGCGCGGGAAGAAGACAGGTTGCGGTCCTTGATGTCGAGGCCAAGCAGTGGGAAGGGAGGTGATTACTCCCAATCGCCGGGAGGAAAAAGCCGCAAAGGAAAAGAAAAGGGATCAGGCAAGAACCAGCCAGGTGATGGAGGCAAGAATCGTGGTGGAGGAGGCAACAAAGAGGAGAACAAACCCCCATGGCCGAAGAAATAGAAGGTTTGACAAAGGATACATCACTGGCTGGTTCAGAGAGATCCCAAGAAGAGGTAAAGAGAGGCAAAAGTTGCGATCCTGGAAAGGCTGCTAAAAAGAGGAGAAAGGCGGAAGAGAGTGAGGATGAGGGCATAGGTGGCACTAGTATCACCACCAGGGATGTCAACACCTTGATCGACGAAGCTCAGGAGAGGGCCCTGGTGACAGAGGGGAGTGACGAGGCGTGGCGGCCTTGGGACTCCCAAGAGGAGAAAGAATTCGCTATGCAGGAGCTGAAGGGGAGCCAGCACTCAGCACAGGCTGGCTCCCAATCGTTTCACATCAGTGTGCGGCGCCGCGTGGATGAAGCTTTGAGCGGTGCGGCCGGAGTTCTCAAAGTCGGAGATCTGGGGTCTTTGGTGATGGATGTGCTTTTTATACTTGAACAACCTAGTTGCAGACCAAGGTCCACTACAGGAAAAGGGGATTTGTTTCCACTTCCTGTTGCACATTTCAACCAACACCAGGGACCACATTCCGCGTTTCTCCAAGCAGTGCTAGCTAGCCTCAACAGTCTCCATAGCTTTGGCGAGGGGGCGGCCAGCGACAGACTTTCCCCATCAGCTCGACTGGTGTGCAAAAGATTGGAAGATGTGGTAAAGGGATCAACGGTCCTGGATGAACCCCTACCTGATATCAACTTTAAATCCTTCTTTAGCACCAAGGGTTTGGATTATTCTGGTGATGAGGTCCGGTTAGCATTGCCTATAAGCTGGGAAAGTGTGGAAGCGTCACTCCCCCCTGAAGTAGGCTGTTTGGATATCCGTGACTTCTGTTTTGGGGGGGTGGCCCATTTTGTCAACAACATTGACGAGACCCTCTTACCAGTTGAAGACCAGGTGCGGTTAGCACCGCCGTCAGTAATGATCAAAGGGGCTGGCTGGGACGAGGTGGCTCATGGATTGGTACAGCGTGGACTTTGTGAAGTAATCCCCGAGGATTCTATCTATCAGGTTAACAACCAACCACTTCTGAACGGCCTCTTCTCCGTCAGTAAAGATGAATTTAAAGATGGCATCCCTTTGGCCCGTTTGATCATGAATTTGAAGCCCTGGAACATGGTGAGCCGCAGCTTATCTGGTGATGTAGGAACGCTACCCGCCATTACACAGTTGGGTTCCCTCCACTTACATGATGATGATGTTCTAGTCACATCCTCTGAGGATCTCAGATGCTTCTTCTACTTATTTCGGACTCCACCCGAGTGGACGAAGTTCATGGCCTTCGGAAAGGAGGCGCCTCGG